CCCCCCCCAAAGCAGAAGAAACCTATGTGCAGCAGATTCTGCAGGAAAAGAGCTTTCTGAGGAAGCCTACTGCGGATCTTATTTTCTTCCCTTTTGTTACAGATTGAGCTGACCCACAGGTATGTGGAGCAGACACATCTTTAACACTGATGTCCTGATGGTCCTTACAGGAACAGAGGAATGCAGGAGGTGCAATGTGAAGAGGATGGGGCCTGCTGTGCTGCCAGGTTCACAATTTTGTGAAAAAGCAGCTGAACAGACATCCTCTCTCTAAGCACCTAGTTCTTATATTTTTCACTGAAGACTGCTCTGATACCATCACAGTCAGACTGCCAATTTCTGTGAATCCAATTTATCCTGCCTTCTTAATGGGGTTAGGTGACAGATTAAAGCCAAAATACCTGCATGACTTCCCTTCCCTTATCCATAAGTCTGCACACAAACTCAGTGTTGCATGGTATGATTCATGTGGGTGAAAAGAGGAGGAATTAGGAAATTATTATAGGCTCCCCTTCTTTGCTTTGCACCTTTCCTTGCTCTTCTCAACCTTTTTCTCTTTCAGCCATTTTTTAAATCCGTGCAGCAATGGGATACAATATACTCCAGCTGATGAGTAGACATACTCAGTACTAAAAATTTTGTCAGTCACAAATCACATCCTAGTACGAATTCTGAATAATATTCTTTTGACAGAGATTGAAATGAACCCTTTTAGGATCCCCCTGAGAAGCTGAGATCTTTACATTTTCCTTTGTCACGACACAGACGTGATGTACATATCTATTCCCTTTTGGTATTCTCTGTCTGCTGGGCACATTCAGACTGTCTGGGCAATGACCCTTTAGTGAAGTGAGTCACAGCTTAAGAGGTAAAATTCAATTTCATTAGCTTTAGTGCTGCGAGTAAAAATGCACAGAATTCAGCAAAACATATACAGGTGTGTACCACAAAACAAAAGCTTTGCTCTCTGTCCAACCATCTAAGCTTTAACATCTTTGGTCCTTTAGACCCTTTGCCACAACCCCTATTTCCTGAGCACTTATTTTCTTGTCAGGTTGAGAGTGATTTGTTTCTATGCTTTTCCTTGTAGCTGTACAAGATAGATTTAAATTGACCAGCACTTGATTCCTTCTATTCATAGTATCTTTATTTTCTTCAGTTCATTTTAACTTCCCCATCACACCTAGCTCCTTTATTTGTTTGCTCCTCTTAGGCAGAAGTGAGTAGTGTTTACTTTGCTTGCTTATATAACTGATTTTCTCAGCTATGCAAACAGCACCAAGATTGTGATGTTTTTCAGCAGACAGACGTTCTGCTGGACAGTAACTTTAAAAACACTATCAGTCACTCTTTTCCTTCTTTTTGTATTGCTTGCTGGCTAAGGATTTGTTAACTCTTTTTCCTTCTGTGACTGCAGTAGCACTTTACTCTGATTTTTTGCCATTAATATAATTAATATGCTAATAAGACACACAATAGCATAAACACTTGTGGTCTACTGCATCCTGTATCCCTATTCCTATTAGCTTTAATTCCCAATTTGCTTGAGATGGTAGTTCACAATGATGAAACATTATCTAAGATCACAACTGCAAGGTCCAGAGGACATGCAAGTCTGCTGGATCAAGTTCTTTCCAGTAAGGATGTGTTACTGGTGTGATATTAGTGTGGTATTAACGTATGTGGCAAACTAGCGTGGGCTGTCATACAGCCCCAAGTACAACTGGAACAGCCAGACCCAGACAAGTAGTTTGTAACTGTTGTTCACTGCATATATTGCCCAGAACACACACAGAGCATTGATTCCTTCTGAGCACCAGAAGATTAATTAACACCAACCACCATCCACCCGATTACACTTCAGTGACCACCAGGAGAGAAACCACAATAGCACTGGTAAGACCCAAGCCAAGATACTAAGACTGCTATTTAGCCTAACATTCTGAGTTCAAACATAATGTGTATTGTGAGCCCTTTGAGAAGATGTGAGACATAAAGGCTTTGAATAATCTATCTTTGTGAGGATTTTATAGTTCCTGTATTCTTCCACCCTCATTTAAAACCTTACTTTTTTAAAGCCAATTAAGATTCTCCCATCTTAAAGTTCACCTGTTAGACCTGTCTTTCATCTGTTCATCTGCTTGTTATTGATTCTGCAGCAAATTGGGTATTTTCACTCTGACACAGCAAGGGCTAGACTACTGCTCCTCTAGGACCACGAATTGCAAGTTTTATGCTGAAGCATAGTTAATGCACTTTGGAGAGCATCTGCCTCAGCTCAACAGTTAACAAAACATACGGGGGCCCTGTGTGACACAAGAGGACCAGGCGAAACAATGGCTGCCAAAGAGTAAAAATAATAGTTCAGTATTTTTAAAACTGTCAGCTTGATAGTCCTGGCACCTGAACTACTCCAGCTATAGAATGAATTGCTTGTCTTGTTTCCTCTTACTTTCACTAGAACATGCTGCTGTAAGCATTAAAACAGTAGTGCAACTCAGTCTTCTCATAATCTCAATGTTTTGCCCTTCTGCTGTTCTCAAGACAGTCACTGTGTATTTGTAGGCAGAAATGCAATTACTAATTTCAAATTGCTTATTTTAGCAAGACTGCAAAATCCTTATTGTAGATCAAATTCTTTGTATTTGCTACCTTTGTCAGCAGGGCTCTGTGTTTGGATTCTAGTTAACAACATGGTTATTCAGAAAACAAATATCAAACCTCTCTTTCCATGCAGTGTCAGACTTGTGTGATTCTGGGCAGCAGGCCATGTGTCTCCCCAGGATTACAACCCTCTTCTTGTATGTAGCCTTGGCATCTTGAGAAGTGGTAGGAAAAGAACTACAGGAACAGCATCAAGCAAACCTGCTCAGAAGAAGGAGGGAACTGTAAAGAAAAAAAAAAAAGTAAAGAAATGAAAACCATGCACAGTGCAAAGCTTACAAATCTCTTGTACAAATAAATAAATAACTAAAATGGTACTAATGGATGAGTGACTGGAAGACAATAGCTTATCAGCTTCAGTTGCATCAAAAAGTTCTAATTTCACACTCTGACACCTTATATTACTGAAAAGAAAGATATAAACTTGGGCATTAATCAGAAGAAAGTAAAGCATAAATGTTTCCCCCACTCCCACCTGCAATTTGTGACTTGGAAAAATATGAGAACAGTAGGAACTGGCATTAAAATAGAGATAGAATGACATCTACTGGCTGTCAGGAACTGGCTTGTTTCACTGCTGAAAATATTTTGCAGGATTTTTTCCCTTTCCTCAAAATATTTAATCTGAGACTCCTATGATATAAGTCATAGAGTTTAGCTATTGGACAGGGAATGAAGAATAGTTCAACAAGTTCCCCAAATAATGGTCAATTCTTAACCAATTAGTTACCTAATTAAAAATACCTACATAAACAGCTTAATGTGTTTCAGATCTTTAATATCAATGGTAGGGAGTAAATAGATGTTCTGCTTAAGAGCTACCAGAAACTGAAAAAACCCTGCAATTTTGCACTGAATGCAGGTTCCCATAGTACATTGTACTAGAATAAATAATACTGATAAACAGAATTATGTTTCTTATGGAAAAAAAAATATGTAAGAAGCTAAATTTTACAGTGCTGCATCACTTTGTAAAGGGATAATCATTACCATTTTTCCTGGATTAATTTACTGCATTATTATTCAATTTCTTTATTTAAACTTCCCAACTCCTCCTTTTTTGATTATTCTATATATTTTCATATAAAGAAAAGGTTAGATCCCCTCCTACTGTTTTGGTTTTTTTTTAACAAACTTAGCTAGAATCACTGCAATATAAAAATCTCAGAAGGTCTCGAGATTTTGTCAAAGATCACAAAAACCTCAGTCTTAAGTGAACATTCTTCTCTCTACTATACATATATTCTTGGCCTCTCCACTTATGGATCTTCTCAGTATGAGTGTGGACCTTTTCCCTGTTAGCAGTGATACTCAGTGGGTGATACTGCCAGTACAAACAAATTGATCTTGCTCAATTTCTATCTGCCACAAGATATATTTCCTCCTCCTGCAGTTTCTCCATGCTGGTTAATTAAACTCCTCTCAACTCTCATGTCTGCTCACCAGGAAACATCTTTCTAGCTCTCATGCCTCTGGTAATAATCAGAAATTATTGCAACACAGGCATGAACATTTGGTCATTCTTTCTTAATATATTCAGTCCAGAAATAGAAAAATTCTAAGGAGGTCACATTGTTATCCTGGTTAGGAAAAGAGAAATTATAAACGTAATTGAGTTCATATATATATTCATCAATATAGCATATATTTATATGATGTTGCAGAGAAGCAAAAGACTTGATTCTGGCCTTGGGCCATGGTCAAAATAGACAAATATACACAATGAGATAGCACATAAACAAAGGTGAAGAAAAAGTTGAGGATGAACAAAACTAAGTGTAAGAGCTGATATCTGGAATAGCGGATTAGGGGATTTAGGTACATTTTCTGCAAAATTTCAACAGCCTCTTCACTGCAGGAATGGATGCAGGCTTAATAGGAATAGCACAGCTGTGCAGCTGCATGGAGTAGTGCTCCCTTTTCCCCAGCCCAGTGGGTTTGGATTCAGAGAAGGGGATGCTGTGCCAAGCTGCAGTTGTTAAAAGACACACAGGCATCCCCAGATGTTCTTCCTCTTGATGAGGAACCCCTGATGAGACAGCTTCCCTTTGGTCTATATATCTGGCATACAGCAACATGAACCTGGAAGAAAGCTACAGAGCTGCACTAGTATGCACGAGCTGCCAGTGTCACAGGACAACAGGACAAAATGGATGAAATTTCAGCACTCATATGACTTTTTATTTCATTTGATGTATTTAAGTTTACAGAAAGTTCCCAGGTATTCCTCGAATCACAGAATGGTTTGGGTTGGAAGGGACCTTAAAGATCACCTAGTTCCACCCCCCTGCCATGGGCAGGGACACCTTCCACCAGCCCAGGTCACTCACAGCCCTGTCCAACCTGGCCTTGAACCCTGCCAGGGAGGGGGCAGCCACAGCTTCTCTGGGCAACCTGTGCCAGGGCCTCACCACCCTCACAGGGAAGAATTTCTTCCTTGTACCTAACCTAAATGTTTCAGTTTAAAACCGTTACCCCCTGTCCTACACCTGCACTCCCTGATAAAGAGTCCCTCCCCAGCTTTCCTGTAGCCCCTTTAAGTACTGAAAGGCTGCTATAAGGATCCTTCTTTTCTCCAGCTGAACCCCCCAACTCTCTCAGCCTGTCCTCACAGGGGGGTGCTCCAGCCCCTGAGCATCCTCGTGGCCTTCTCTGGACCTGCTCAAGCAGGTCTGTGTCCTTCTGATGTTGGTGCCCCCAGAGCTGGACACAGCACTGCAGGGGGGCCTCACAAGAGCAGAGTATAGGGGGAGAAACCCCTCCTTCAACCTGCTGCCCACACTTCTCTTGATGCAGCCCAGGACACAGTTGGCTTTCTGGGCTGTGAGTGCACATTGCTGGCTCATAGTCAGTTTTCCATCCCCTAAATCCTTTTCCTTGGGTTTCTCTCAATCCACTCCTCGCCCAGCCTGGATTTGTGCTTGGGATTGCCCTGACCCATGTGCAGGACCTTGCACTTGGCCTTGTTGAACTTCATGAGGTTCACATGGTCCCACCTCTCCAGCCTGTCCAGGTCCCCCTGGATGACACATCCCTTCCCTCCAGTGTGTCGACCGCACCACACAGCTCAGTGTTGTTGATGAACTTGCTGAGGGTGCCTCGATCCCACTACCCATGTCACCAACAAAGATTTATTTAGGGATAGCATGGATATATTGATATCACCTCTTTTTGTTCTAACCTATTATCTTAAAAAATAGCTAGCAATACACTAAACTGAAATTGATGCATGTTTTTGATAACTTTTTACTGCACAAGCCACCAGAGAAAGAAAAAGTTCACTTATATCGATAAGAATCATTCAGGAGTTAGCAGGAATCATAAGGTAAATGAATTTAGACTTGTGCATTAGTACATTGGTTACATATTGAAGCCAGGAATAAAAAACTGAAGATATGACATGTTCCAATGTATCCACAGGAAGAAACATGGTATACACCTAGCTTTAAGGTATTCAAAGTGCAAAATTGTAATTGTACAATGATCAGTAAAATAAACCATACTCTGAACATCATTTAGCATTCTATTACAAGTTTGAGCCCTTTAATAATTCTATCTTATACATATGAGTGCACACATGTATATGAATGACAGCTTTCATTCTGAATAGCTGAAAAATGAAATCATTTTGTCAAAATATGAACTTTGAGAATGAAGCAGTCATCAGCACACAAAGGAATTCCTGCCAGAAATTACGATGTGTTAATCATCATGAAGATGAAAAAGCCAACAATTTACTTTCCATGATGTGGGTTAACCCTGGTATGCAGCCAAGAACCACAAGAGCTCCCCACTTGCCCCCCATACCCCCTGCCAGAGTGGGATGGGGGAAAAGGAACAGAAGAGTAAAAGCAAGAAAACTTGTGGGTCGAGATAAAAACTGTGTAATAATTGAAGGAGAAGTGCAAGAAGAGAGAAAGAAAACAAAACAAGTGATGCAAATGTAGTCACTCATCACCTCCCATGGGTAGGCCAACATCCAGTCAGTTCCTGAGCAAAAGATGGCTAACCTCCCTAAACTCCTCCTTTCTGTTTTTCCTTCCTAAACATGACATCATATGGTGTGGGATATCCCTTTGGTCACCTGGGGTCAGCTGTCCCAGCTGTGTCCCCATCCAACTTCTTGTACACCCCCAGTCTCCTCGCTGGCTGGGCAGCGTGACAAACGGAAAAGGCTGTGATGCTGTGTAAGCACAACTCAACCATAGCTAAAATATCCCTGTCTTAGCCACACTGTTTCGGTCACAAATCCAAAACATAGTGTCATAGCAGATATTACGAAGAAAATTAACTCTATCCAAACAAAGCCAGTAGACATGACAATACTTTGGACATCAATTCCATTTACAGGAAAGCTTGATATAATTTAACAACTCTTGTATAACCAGCATTGAGGAAAAAGAGAAATAGTGTAAGATGTGAGGTATCACTCTGGTATTGTAATAACAGACTTCTGATCAAGAAATTTCAGGAAATCAATTGAATGAGATTATTTTAGTTGCTAATAAGTATCTTTTGGCTTAAACGTTAATATAATTTCTGTTCTTACTCTTTCATCAGGTTTCATAGTCTTAGTGAGTAAGAGAAGTTTTAGTGTAATGGCAAGCTATAGTATTTCAGGTTCATAGATTTTAACCACAAAATTCTCAAATATGGGTTATTCATAAAACCTACCATTACAGATTCAAATGATTAGCCCACTTAGAAAGTTCTAGTTCAAACAGGAAGAGAGCAGTAAGTTGCTTAAACTCAAAATATTCATCAAAAAAATTCCCACAGAAGAACACAGCTTGAAATATCTTTACTTCCTAGGGGACAAAATCTGTCATTTCACCCAACTCAGAATGGCACAATAGAGACACCTAATCTTTTCCTAAAAAAACCCCCAAACCCAAAATAGGTCTGATGAATCACATCCTGGAAGTGCCTATTTCTCTTCAGCAAGTTCAGAAGAAATCTAGCTCAGATACCTATAGCGCAGAAGTCTGAAGTTAGATGAGATTGAATCCCAGTCTATAGATAAGAACAATCTTCTTGCATTCAATCTCCCGGCAGTCTTCAGGACTGAACTCTGGCCTACTCTTTCACTCTGAGAGGCTGGAGCACTTGAAGTGCGTCCTGCCATACTCTGTCTAATTGTGCTGAGGTGTACCTTTTGTTTCTGCATGCAACTGGGACTTCAGGTTTACATTGCCTATACGTGTGTTCCATAAAGTGAGTAGACCTCCAAGACCAGTAAAAGGAATAGTCATTCAGTTCATATCAAACTGAGTATTTGCTGTTGGAGAGTACAGTTTGCTGAGGTTCTGTATTAGAGTTTAATAAACACCATTTACATGGGTTTTTTCCTATTGCAATGTATACCTACTTCATGGTCCTGATTTGATATCTCCATTTACAGAAACCTCTCCAAATCGTTGTGTATTAAAGTTGAAAAGGAAATATTTTTGTCCTGTGATATTGTCTGAGATCTTGATAATCTTGCTCTTGTGTAATTGTCTTTTTTCCAACTTTTCTATTCACAGGTTCATGTAAAAGCACAGATCTTTTGTTTTGTGAATAAAGTCTACAATAAGAAAATGAGGAGGGTTGAAGCTATGTCTGACCATATAATCACAATGATTAATTTTTGCTATCGTTAAATAACTATTTCTAACTAGTAATTTGAAATGTAGATATAAAATATAATGGTATAATGCAATAGGTTTACAGCAACCTAATGTGACATAATATGGTGTTCCTTTCATTTTTAAGGAATTAAAGTCATTATAATAATCTATAGTTCCAAATACGTACTTCTGATGCTGTTATGGAAACACACTAACAACAATAAACAGATCTATTGAAAAGTTACCTTATGCTTATAATATTTCATAAAACCATCTCTTCCAGTAGCCTGCCTACCATTTTCTCCCAAAATTGTTTTCTATATCCCCAAAAACCGATGTGTTGGGATAACTGTGAGGTGGTCATTCATTGACTGTTACAAATTTGCTGGAGAAGTTTAACCTGGTTAAGGGTAGGAACATTTGTATGGTTTGCCTATTGTATGGGCCTATTGTATTGTATGGTTTGCCTATTGTATTGTATGGGCTCCAGACAGGCATAATGACTTTATATAAAACTATAATGTATATGATCTGCATGACAGTCTAAAAAAATGCTATCTATTTTAGTGAATGCCTGCTGCCTTCTATAAAACTCCACTGATGTAGGTTCAAGTCTCATTTTAGCCCCAACGTAAAAAAGGGGGCGTTTACCTCAGCTTAAGTCATAAACAAAATCACTGTTACAGCTGGGTCCTTGTCTGGCTTTCTGCATGTACCTAGAGTTTACAGTATGAACTACTGCTGCTTGAACAAAGACCAAATGCTCCAATAGCTTTGGTTATGCAATTCATGGTCTCTGTAAATCATCACTGAGTGAGACTACAACACCCTTCTATGGAGTGTTTATGACCCTTATTCCATCGTGCCTTTATACTTTAGCACTAGTTAAACATTAAAAAAAAAAAAAAAAAAAAAAAAAAAAAGAAGGAAAAAAAACACTTCAGTTCTTACCTTCTCTGGCCAAGACATTCTACATGGGTTTCCAAAGTCCATTTCAATCCTTAATGAAATGATCTGCAGCCAGCACCACAAGCTTTGTTCTCAACTTTGTTTTCAGAAAAATGTACAAAATAAAGCAGAAAAAGATAAGTTAATTTTTTATGATACAGGTATCAAAATATCTGAGTAATTATGCTTTTTGTTTTAGAAATGCATAATTCAACGAGCATTTTCTGCATGATTTCATACCTTTGCTTAGTCTCTTCTGGTTTAGAGATGACCTTTAAAGAGCCCTTCCAACCCAAACTATTCTATGATTCTATGACAACTGCCTTAAATGGTTTATAATGATCAATTGTTTTATAGAGATAGCATCTTAAACTAAGATATTAAATTATACTAGAAAGTTCAGGATATTATAAGGAAAAAATACAGGCTTTCTCAGTGGACTATTAATCAGTAGTTTTTCATTATGCCATTTTCAATAAGGAAACAATATCAAGTCAATTCCTAATGCATGTACTTTTTGTAGTTACAGGACCAACAGCCACATTATTATGGTTTTAACACCCAATGTCAGCCTAACAGTGTCATGTTAACCCTTGCAATTTAGAGTACTGTGCAGCTTTCTGCAGTTGTTTGGTTGTTTTTTTTAAATATAATACAAGTTTAATTAACTTATTTTGATTTCCAGTATGCAAGTCTAAGAATAAACTAATGACCACTAAAAACCATAAGGTTTCGGGGGAGGATTTTTTTATTTTTTTCTGCAGAACACAGCAAAGCTTTTTGCAGAATTCCTCTGTCTCTCCACAAAAGTGAATACATTGCCACTACATTCACCTAACAGCACTTATTATAAAACCTCAGTCCTTTTTGAAGCTCATTGGTGTTCTCTACACTTCAACAACTTTTTTATGATTTATTCCACAATTAGTATGTATCTCAAATCTCACAGCATACTTCAGAGAACCAAAGTTTCTCAAGCACAGTGAATGCTTGTCGTTAGCTTTCTCACAGGTAAAAAACCCAAAATAACGTAAAAATACCTGTGAGATTTTTTTTTGCTTTGAGAAAAATTTGCAACTTGTATATTTCTGTACTGAGTCTTATCAGTTGGAAAAAACCCACATTATATCTTTCTCTTTCTACTTTAAATTAAAAAATGCTTTCAACATTATTATTGTAGATTGATATAAAAAATACTTGCAGAATAAAACTTTCTGTTTGGTAGCCACAGCTAACCAACCCTGTACCAGCCAAAGGAAAATTTATCAGTAATGTTCATAAGCATTGATACAGACAGAATGAAATTATCATCATCATGGTCATATTGATTATTATATCACAGAGTGTGACTTCAAGTGTGACACAAAATACCTTGAAAAATAGTTCACCTCCAAGGGTTTATGTCAATAACTAGGAGAAAAATTCTTTTTCTTGACCTTTTACCATAAGAAAATCTTTCACATACTACATATTGATTTTGTGTGTTTCAGAATATGGGTGATATATCTCAAACAATGAAAGCCTAAATGAGTTGCCATCGAAGATGCTTTATTTTGATAAACAAGGATTAGCTATAAAACCTTTGATAAAAAAAAATAAATCACCAAAACGAAGGAGGCAATTTGCAATAGCATACACAATTCAAGTTAAAGCGCATATGAAGATATGGGAAAATTTATCAGATTAATATTGCATATAGAACTGTTGATTCTTCTGCTTCACTAATGTAGTAGTAAAAAAGGAGGGGAAAAACCTTTTTACAGCAGGCAAAGGGTATACACTCTTTCACACTGAATGTTCAGTTTTTGTCTCACTGCATCAGTGGGTCAAACCTGTTTCAGAAGTAAGTTTGAGTGACATCACCTGATTTTATGTAACTGAAGTAAAGTTTAATTTGTCTTAATCCTCCAGAAGTCTTTTGTAGCTGTATTATTAAATGACTCAGGTTCCAGGTTCTTCATGTCAAATAAATTTTTATTTTATATCAACAGAAATATGGCTTTATACTCTGAAAACTAATAAAAAAGGAAAGCCAGATAACAAATATAATGGAAATTAACTAAACCTTTTTAAGAATAAAAATCAGGAGATGCAATTCCTATAGGACCTCCATGAGAGAGGAATATAATTTTTTTTATGTGTTCTAGTTTCACCCCGGCTGGACAATCCTCTCTTCCCTTAGCTTCCAAGTCTATTTTTCTTATTCTACCCATATTAACAAAACTTTGACCCCTTCTCCTGCAGAAATCCAACTTTCTTTTTTTTTCTGCACAGACTAAATTATCATCTGCAATGAATTTTGTAAAAAGTGGTTTTTGGAAAACTATAGAGAAAACATTGGTCTCATGTTCTCCTGTGCCACAGACTTAGTTATGACTCTGCATTTCCTTCTTTCTGTTTTTTAGAATTTTAAAAGTTCTTCTCAGGAAGCTACTGATCTACTTTCTACATATAGTTGGGAATAGTGCATCATGTTTTATGCCTGACATTCAGAAGGATATACTGGAAGCATATCCTCCAGTCAGCTATTCACATCGTTCAAGCAAAATATGCTAACATCCCTAGTGATCTCTCTTACTGGTGATACTGGTTACTGATTTTGTGCCACCTGAAATGTAACAGATCCCCTATTGTTTTTTAGTAAAAACTGTCACTGTGATTGAAAAAAACAGGGCTTGTCCTATGAAATGGTGTTTTACCTGACCTTTAGCCAAGAGAAAACCAAAAAGGAAATACAGTGAAGGAACTAAGCCTTTCTTCAGTAATATGTTGCACAAGCATCTCTGGAATTTATGTTTCCACCTGACACCAGTGCAAATTCCGAGACAAATCAAAGTGTACTGCTGGGGGTGGAAAAACATTTTAAAAGTCTGAATTTCTACAATCTGGGACATTTTGCTCTTTCTTGGACAGTAAACTCACAAATGGCAATTTCAATGAGGATCCCAAGAAAACATTTGCCACACCTTTCTTCGTGGATAATAAAAATACATTGTGTCTGAAAACTCCATTCCTGGAAATAATTCATTTCCAGCTCCTGCTGAAAAGTGTATCAATGTTTAGCTGTTGCCATTGGAAGCACAGTCTAGACAAAGATAAAATTAGAAGCAAGCATTGACTGTTCTGGAAAGTACAAAGCAGTGTCTAATCTAATCTTCTCATCTCAGCAAAGATTTTGACTGTCTTGTCTACATTATCTAGTGACATTACAAAATGGTGGACAGGACCCTCTTTCCTTGAATTGGGTAGGAATCTGACAACTGCAGCCCCAAAAGCAAATATAATGAAATATAAACACCTACCACTTATCAGAGGGGAAAAAAAAATAAATCTTTATAACTGAAGTATTCATCGCTGTCATACAAAACCTTTCCATTTTCCATAGCAATACAGAAAACACATCAGATTGAGCAACAGTAATGATTAACTGAGCTGACTCGAGGAAAATAAAAAACATGCAATGCTACTGTATTTCAGAAACAAGCAATAACCAGTGTCTATCACATGACTATATTTGAAATGTTTTTTACTCACCTTCTGAATAGCTTTGATCCCAATATTTTCCTATATTAATTTTTAAATGTAGGCTTAAATTACATTTTTTCCTGATTTGGGATAATGGCAAATTATTCATGCCATCGTTAGGTAGGTTGTTCCCTTGGCTAAGTTAACAAGTGACACAGCTATGAATGTGCTCCTGGGTTTCATTCCAAGTATATCTGTTGTCATGTTATGATTGCCAGAACATTTTATGCCTGCTTTTTCTACTAGATTGAAAAACCATCAACTACTGGAGTATTATTTCCCTTATATGTATTCTTGTTAACTAAAATTCATTTTCACTTGGATATGCAAATAAATTCAGTTCATTAAATCTTTCAATACAAGTCAGTTATTCTGGCTTCCAATTGCTTCTCCTGAATCCCCCCTAATCATTTTCTGTGATATTAGTGGGAAAGCAAAAATGTGAGCAGCATTACCCGGTAAGGACAGAGGCTGTGACTTCCTGAGACATACAAGTAGCAAACCCTCCACAGCTTACACCCTATACCTTCTAACTGTGGTAACTCAAGTCTAGCAGTAGCATATAAACTTGTCAGTTATGTTTGTCTAAATTCAGCTGTGTATTATTAAGATAAACTTAGCAGCATATAGGTACAATGACTATTACTGGCACTGTTTTAGAATTCTGACAAATGCTCCCAAATCCTTGACTTCTCCCAACCCACAAAGGTTTGAGCCCCCTCTGCTGGTCCATGCAATCCACACTTACAGCAGAATGATGTTCACCACAGCAGTTGATTCCCAGGTGCTAGGGTCAGTAATGCTGCAGCGTCTTTTGCAGGTCACACTTCTCAGTGTTATCATTTCATCTCTTCGGGTTTCTATGAGCTGTGCCATTTTGTACTTCCCATTTTGTGCGGACGGACTGTTCATCCCTGCTGAAAGTCAGTTCCAAAACCAACCCAAAGATAACCAGTCACTCTGTCCCTGTTCAGCAGCTACCCTACTGGGAAGTGTCCTTCTAAAACTGACCTAGAGAGAACCAAACACTTCACCCTCAATCTGCCTCAACTGCAACGTTATTGCATTGTTTATCCTATGGCCTTCTAAATGTTAAATCAATAATTCACTAAATATGTTAATGGTAAATCAGCAATTCATTTAATAGTTAAGTACTAAGTCAGCAATTCAGTTAGTATCTGTCTTGCCAAAGAAATGCTAAGCATATTTGTACTGGGTTGACAACTGATTATGAAGCCCAGCCCAGTGGTCTTTCCCATATCATGGGTCCATGACCCCTGACCCCTGCTGCATCGTCTTCTCACAATGCCAAACGAGTTTTAGGACTTCAACAGTTTGAAAGTCCCCAATGTCACTTCCACATGTCCTTACACCAGTACTCCCTGGTAATACATTCACCTGTCTCCTTCCAGCACTGCATCAGGAGTTCAAGTTCACCTGCCTTTTATCACTAACAGCTACCTGAAAATGTCTAAAAATCATTCTCTATACTCTTCTACCATCCTAACTTTCATACTCCTGAAGGGCAAAATTTATATGTTCTTCTTTAGGTACTTTATAAAATATTCTATATGCAGAGGATG